TGCTGCCTCTGCCAGTTTGTGACGTCAACCAATAATGCAAGTCAAAATGTCCTCATAAAACTAGTCGCGTATTTCGAGTCTTTCACAAACCCGACATATCAGTTTTAAGTATATTTTAGTAAACATCAAGGGCAATTTAGAGTTTGCTCAACTCACATCATGTGCAAACACCAAAGAAAATTCAGCCTTCAATTAACCTACTGTCAAGGTCGTTTAGAGTGCTCATATAGACTAGAATGAAAATATTTTCGTAAAATCAAAGACATCTTGAGGCCACTTTCAACCTGCCAGAAATTTTTTGTCACCATCAAAGACAATTTGGAGCCCTCAATGAAACTCAAGTGTAGGGGTCGGGAACCTTTTTGACTAAGAGAGTCATAAAAGCAAAATATTTGGAAATGTATTTCAGTGAATAAATGTGAAGTGTGTGTTATTCATCGGCATCAAAGACACGTAAGAGTCCCCCAGAAATGTTTTTTTCCCCACAAACATCAAACGCAATTCCTCTGTTCATATTTTGTAAACATCGAAGACACTTTTGCTCTTGGATTGAAGACAAGACAATGAACCGAAAGTACATTTTGGTAAGCCATGAAAATAACATTCTCGTACACCAAAGACAATTCTGTCCTCCGTGTACCAAATGTAATGTCCACATTATCGTGAACATCAAAGACATTTTGAGTTCAGTGGCCCTATTATACAAGTTGACTTGCTCCAGAAAACATCTGATAAATTATTTCCGCCAATTCCGTTTAAAAAGTATGTCAAGTGAAGGCAAAATGGGCTGGAATGGAACAAATGAAGAAAAACCAACCAAACAAGCAAACAACGCTGTCTGTTTCCCTGCCGTCCGAATGAGTCATCATCAGCAAAGTAATCTGAGCTCAGAAGCAATATATTTTTTTTTGTTTTGCTTGGCTTACCTGCATCACAGGCATCGGGGCAGGATGTCCACTCACTGAAAGGGGTCATGATGCAATCTTTCTTGCAGGGCAGCTGACACGGACGCACTGTGCTGGGCCGAGGAGCGTCTGGGCACCTGCGCGCAGCCACGGGTGGAATGAACTTCAAAAACAGGGAGACTAGCTTGTTTTTTTTGTAGAATCCCATTTTTTGACGGTAAGAGAGTGACAAAAGATGATAGGGATTACTTTTAAAGAGTGTATTTTAGTAAGTTTGTATGTTAACGGGAAGGGCATAATTAAAAAAACAAACAAACAAAAAACAGCAACATTTTTTGGGTCTCTCGATCACAGATTGTATGTTTTCAATCTTCTTTGATGCAGACTCAGTCATTCGGTCCTTGGAGCAAAAGTGGAAATATTTATTAGCATCTGTCTGCTGAATAAATTGCCTTTAAGTATCGATGGCACTTAATTACTGTTATTATCATCACTGACAAGAGGCAGCAGTTAATTAGGCTTTCTGGAAAGCGCAGATTTGATTTTTATTTGTCCAAGCGTGGCTGCAAAGGGAAGATACCGCTTGGGAAAGCTCAAAGTTTGTCATAATTTTTACTCTTTTTTTTTTCTTCTTTTTTTAATCAATTTATTCAGCCCTGATTCACTTGAAGCATTCGTTTCTCAGCACCGCATGCTCCTTGTTCGTTTTGTCATCGAAATACGCACATTGTATCTGTCAACATTTGCATTTGTCTACCAGACGGCGCACCTTTTTCCCTTATTCAAAAGATGCGGCAAAGCCCCTTTTTACTGTCAGCTGTAGGGGAGCCTCGCTACTGAAATGACAAGTGTGTGACTTATTGATGGCGGAGAACCGTGTGTATGTAAAAAAAAAGATCTGGTGGTGTGTATTATGAACACTTTAAAAACAACCAGAGTTACATTTAATAATAATAATAATATTGTAGGTGGTGTTGATTTCTATTTTTGGATTTATTTAACCATATAAGGATGGATTTGGCAAAATAAATGCAAATACAAAAATGTAATCTGCAATTGTACCTGGCTGCACAGATAGATTTTTCAATTCTGGGTTATTTTGGGTCATTGTGTTCATTGCTATTGTGCAAGGTGCCTTTCAATAAATCTCCTAAATGGAGCAGAAGCAAAGAGAACTTACTTCTTAGGGGGCACCTGTCCCACGTTGACACGCACACACATGACTTTTCTCGTCTGGACCCCGTTGGAGCAGCTGCCAAGGCCCACGGCCGCACCCTCCGAGGTGGCGTTGAGGGTCGCGGAGGAGGGGTCCTCGGAGCAAGGCCCCCATGGACCTGTCTGCCAGTGGTACACGGTGCACGCATGCTCGTTGCAGTTGCGGACCTCCTGCAGTGAACTGCTGTTGGGGCACATGGCGCCACCTTGAAAAAAGACACAGTTCAGGTCACCATACCGTATCATGATTCCCGAAAGTCATCTATCATTCATACTAATATATCATACGAAATGACAAGACAGGCTATGCTGTTACAGTAATTGCAACTCTGGCATAATTCATAGTGAGCTATTTTGAATTTGAACTTGCCTGTATACTGTAAAAAAAACATTGAAACTGAAAATCCATGATATAGATTTGAATGATGAACCACAATATAGCAAGGGTTCACTGTATGCGATCAGATGGGGGTGAAGCAGCATGTGACTCACTTCTTGAGGTCATTTTTGTTTCAGGCATGTGAGCGGCTAACAAAAAGTCAAGCTAAATCTAGACAGAAGTCTACACTGCACGGGATAGTTGTGTTTGTGAAAACCCCAGTTTACTTTGGACACTCCAAGCATCCAGCACTCCAGAACCAATCTAAGATGCCCACAACTCCAACTATTTGTCTAGTTACAGCAAAGATTTACCAAAAAGTTCCGGAAATTTGGGTACCCGTGAAAGACCTTTAAAAAAAAGAAACAGTGTTAAGAAAGTCAATCAATCCAGTAACAAGCTATGAAGAAACAAGCCTGAAATGAACTACAAAAAGGTGACAAGCGTTTGTCAGTCACACAGCCATATTTGAGGAGTGCTAACATGCTATTCAAGCTAACTAGAGGTTTGAAATTAGCCTGCTTCCATTACCCTCCATGACTCAGTCACACAGCCATATTTGAGGAGTGCTAACATGCTATTCAAGCTAACTAGAGGTTTGAAATTAGCCTGCTTCCGTTACCCTCCATGACTGTGATCCAGGCCACAACCATGTCAGTGACTGTGAATAAGAACACACAAGACAAACACACACACACACTTGTAACCAGAGAGGACAGGCAGGAAGCGATGTCACAGTTTTACTCATAAAAAAGTTTGGGATATTGGGCTTTGAGATGCCATTTCAGAAAGAACCTAAAATGCACCATGACCCCTCCGGCTGGATTTAATTTGAGCTTCTGTAGGCTTTTGAATGTCCCAACTGTTGAATGTTTCAGTACTTGCCATTTTCGAACAAGAAGCTAAAGGGCAAAATAACAGGTGATTTTTTTTTTTTTTTTGGTTAACATTTCCAAGGACATTCCTATTTTTTATGTCTTTTTGTGACTCTTCCGGTCTCTATGTTGAAACCTGCTGATGACACACCGTGCGTGACACCCGAAGATCAGTGGCCACGTTCCTCTC